GGTGGGTGGGTGTGTGTGTGTTTGGCTGGGAGAGAGAGGAAGGCGCAGGTGGTGAGTTTCAGGCATGGAAAGCCATTGGAGACTGTTCAAACCACAAGGGACCAAAGGAAAAACATTTTTACCTCTGTTCTTTCTATTTTTCAATCTCATAACAACTCTCTCTTTTTCTCATACTCTTCTCTTCATTCCATGTTCTTTTTTTTTCCTTTATGTGCTCATTCCTTCTCAGCTGTATGAAAGTTATGTACATGTAGCTCCATCTAGTGGTTAATCCAATGGATGACAATTTCCAGTCACCTTCACCTAGTAGTGTCTAAGGATCATGATCATAGAAAGGTATATTTTTGTCAGAAACCACAGGATTAGGGGATACATGTTGTTAGAAAACACCTTTGCACCAACTGTCTGAAAAAGTGCTGAGGAAAGAAATTATTGTAGATATTAAATCACTGGCTCATCGACACTGCCCGTAGCTTCCTCGTGGATGAGTACTTAGATCTGGCAATCTTGAACTGCCTACTGTTATTGGCTGGGACTACACAACCACTGGCCAAAGACTAACGCCCAGAAACATCCCAAACACAGCAAAATATGAAAATAAAGGCAGGGCAGGGCAGAGGGCAGGGTCTCTGCAGATACAGCCACACGTCTAGGGGGTCAAAAGTGGTGCTACATTATTTTTTAGGGACATCCTACGCATTCTGTCTTTAAAGGGATAGTTTGACATGAATGATTATTGAATAATAATCTAAATGAATGACAGCTGAACTTTTCCTGCTGCTCTCTCTTCAAGCCCTTCCTAACTTCCCTGTCTTCCACAGACCCGCCCTTGTTCTTTCTCTCAGTTCCTCCGCTTGTTCTTCTTCCTCTATCTCCCCCCCTCCCTTGCTTTCGTTTCCTCCCTCCCCTGCCTCCTGCTCTCTTATTGTGTCCCTGTTTTTTTTTCTCCCTCCATCCCCTCTCTCTGCCGTGGGCAACCCGGCTGTGATGCTGTTTTAGATCCACTGGAGGGATAAGTGTTGGAGCAGAACAGACTCTACTATGGGGGGGGGGGGCATGCATGAGTGCTGTCACCCAAACACCTGAGGACATCCATAAGATATTTTCTCAGCGTGTATGTGTGTGTCCCCAGCAAAGACAAGTGTCACCTGAACACCCCAGGACTCTCAAAGTGTGTGTGTGTATCAGGTGCTTGCCTATGGGTTTCACCAAGGGATACAAATGTTTGCCTGGCAGCAGCTTTTGATCTATTTAGCTTTTCGCCCCTCCTCTGACCTCTAATGCAACACCTTGTGGGGGGGGGACAAACCCCCCCGGTTTGTAAATCACTGTTTTAGACAATAGTGTGCTTCCAACACACTCTCATGTTATAAATTCAGTAAAGTAATTGTATTCCCAGCTGGAGAGACTGCACAGAGCTCGGAACTCAACTCTATCCATCACATTTGGGAGGAACTGGCCAAGCCTTTTCACCATGGACCAACATCCATGACCAATGCTAATACCCTATGCAAATCCCCGCTGCCAGGTGAAATGAGATGTTTGATAGTCTAATGTGCTGGTATACTTCTGGCCCTGCAGTTTATGTGTCTAGATCCACACTTTCTGCAGTCAGTCAAAATAAAGAGTCAGTGGATGCCCAACAGTGCTGTAGGAAACACAATGACTTTTGACAGTAGCTAAAAAAAAATTTAACGTGTTGTGGTAGATAAATGTTTTAGATGGGCTAGTAAATGTATACAGTTTGTTTAGGGGGTAGTGATTTTATGGTAGGGAGGTAACTGATATGAATCTGGTCTCAGTCACAGGGTCAGATCAAAGGACCATTTGACCTGAAACCTTCACATGTGATTTACAGCAGTACTGTTAATAGGATGCTAAGATGTGTTTTTGGTTGGATGTACTGAAAGGTATATAAGGGAGAGCATGGAAGTCTAGAGAGAACATCTTTGCTGTGGTCTTCTCTTCATGCTGCATGAGTAAAGGGGCTTGATTCATCACATTGGGTTCGTAATTCTTCAGAGATCTAGCAAATCTCAATATTGTGGAAGAATTTCCCCTACATTTTGGCGACGAGGATGGGATGGACGTGCTACTGATCAACGCCTGGGTCTGGACTGAAGGTAACTGCCGGCAGGGAAAGTTCCACTCCGACAAACGGAGGACAGGATCATACACTGGTATGGAAAGATCAGTGTGATTGTGAGTGTGTGATAAGCCCATTAGAGATCAAAGCAAACCCGTCCAAGTGAGTCTATGGTAGAAATTAAATTCCTTACTTTATCCTCTTACAGGCACTGCTGGAATTTCAGAAAAATGGGGAAACATTGTAGAATGAGGATGTTTGAATTTGGCACCATGTAACCAGGTTGTTATCTATCATAGGTCCACGTAGAACAGCTTGTTTAAAGATGGTGTAGAGTAATGTTTAAAGAAAGAGGACAAGAAAGTAGGGAAGAAATTTCTAAACTGGCAGACATTCCAGATATGGGAAAGAAGCAGAAAGATGGAAATGAAGAGAAAAAGTACAAGAGTAGAAGAAGAGAAAGATGGAGAAGAGAAATGTAGGGCCAGACGCAGAAGACCAACCATCACCAAGAAAGGTGTGTAGCCTATAGTCTGTGAGTGCTATTAACC